TGGATATAAGTCGAGTTCCCTATAATCTAGATAGATTAGATCAGAAGCAATAAATTATATAAACTTTTTCATAAACAATTGTGGAGACGAATGATTAATTGGCCCCTACGATAGCTTCGATCTAATTAAACGCGCAAAGATGGTCAAGCAGGTCAACAATGGGCAATCCAAAATGTTCCAATAGCTCCATGAACAACAGAGATAAAAATAAAGTATGCCTAAAATAAATTACTAAACAAATAACGTACTAAAATATGTAAGTACGCAATGAATCGACTTCCAAGGGATCGGAGGAATCGAGGAGTCGGAAGAAAACAGGTGGTTTTCAAAGAATTTTCGTGGCAACTGGGCGTTTATTTAGACAACTTCGGCTGCCCTCGCGCCTCCTTTGTGAGTCTTGGACAGATACTCAGCGAATTCCTGGTACGGCGCCTTAGCCAGAGCCTGTTCCTTCCACAGATCGGGCGTCAGATACGCGTATGTCTTGGCGATCGCGGCGTACGTCGCCTTGGCGAAGTTACCGAGGGTACAGGTGGAGCCCCTGGCCGAGGTGTAGCAGTCTTCGATACCGGCCATCTGGAGTAGCTTCTTGGGAACCGGAGCGGACACGATGCCGGTACCTCGAGGCGCCGGTATGAGACGCACTTGCACCGAACCGCATTTGCCGGTCACCTTACACGGCACTGTGTGCGGCTTGCCAATTTTGTTGCCCCAATAACCGCGTCGGACGGGTACAACGGACAGCTTCGCCAGAATGATAGCACCCCGAATGGCGGTGGCTACTTCCTTGGAGCATTTCACTCCGAGCCCGATATGCCCATTGCTGTCTCCGATGGCGACAAAAGCCTATAAAAGATATTTCATTTTGAATTAACTATTTTTATCGTACGTGACTTTCTAAAGCCAATATTCGCGGTCTAATCTTATATTTAAGACCGTCTTAAGTGATAAAATTAATCACTGAACCATATTATAATATTACTTAAGACAGTCTTAACATAAGAACTGACTATGAATATAATCCTTAGTATTGCTTGACTATCGTTAGATTGTTAGATCTTTACGTCTCTTTTTCTCGTCGATGTTTCAATTGATTATAAATGTCCGAGGAGATTACTGGTTTACCTTGAAACGTGTACGTTGACCTGCTCTCGTCTGTTTCTGCACAGGCATGATCTTCAAAACCTCGTCCTTCAGATCCGGCCCGAGGAACTTGTCAATGATCTCGAACTCCTTGATGGGTAAGGAGAACAGATAAATATGTTCGAGAGACTGGATCTTGCCGTCTCTGACCAAGCGACCCAGCTTGGTGACAGGGACCCATTCCTTGCCCTCTTCCTTCCCGCGTCCACGACCGCGTCCTCTGCCTCTGCCGCGTCCACGGCCTCTCAGACCACCACGATCGCCCGCGCCACGAGAGCCGAAACCTCCACGGAAACCACCACGTGCGGCTGGAGCAGCGTCCGCCATTCTGTTCAATAAAATATAATATATTAGCTACCAAACATAATTTATATTCTGAAATCATTCTTCCTATACAACGTTCGTTGAAAGTACCGTTTACAGCTGCTTGGCAAATATCGTTAACTGCTGTACAACCACGGAAATTGTATGCTTAATCATAAATTAAATTGTATCAGAATTGGGAGAGATAATTAGTCATTGTTGAAAATTAAGACTGAAATATATCTGAAACTTTAGTGTTCGCAGTGGGCTAACCTAACGAGCCACCACGTGGCTTGACAATGTATTTCAACGAAAATCCTTCGCGCGAGAACTTTTTTAATCTCTCCTACGAAAATTGGAACGAAAAACGTGTAATAAAATAAAAATTATTTTATTATTGTTACTCGGATAATTGGAAAATTTCGGAAATATGTACTCACGTTGCTTCCTTTCTGCGCGTAAAATCACAGAAAATGGGAGAGTGAGGAAGACCGGAAATGTTCGCTTTCCGAAGCCGCACGAATCTCGCTTCGGCTTCGGGTTTCGTAGATCACAGAGACCAATGGAAACCCTCGGTTGTCTCGAACAGGCACTGACGTCATATCCGATATTTCAAAAAACGGCGCGTCTTACGTCGGCAAAGTACGAGGCATTCACGAAGACGATATAAATTTATGTTTGCTTTTTTTTATTGCTATTGTACACTTAAATAATGCTATAACACTTGCCACAATATATAACATATTGTCAATTATTACGCCCTCGGCGATTATCCATCGACTCTCGAAACATCCCGTCTCAGTCACATTATCAACAATATTATAGGACGATCGATGATCAAAAATCTGGGAATACGTATAAACGCTGAAGATGCCTCAGTTATTACAGAGGGATCGCGCCTTCCACATATACAATCTTACATAGTACACGTTAGAAAGGAACTGAGAGAGTCGCCGAAACTGCGTTACCCATTACAATCTCCCTAGTAGTAAAAAAAAAAAAAAAGAATCCATCATTCACAACGTAGGTAATATCGCACCTTAAAACGGGGTCCAAGCTGAAGCTTTATTGATCACATTGATAACAATGTTTATTCTACTCCGTCGACATTGAGGACACTTGTTGACAACGACGTGTTATCCAATATCACGGATGTGACTCGATGAGACATGAAGGGTACCTCTTTTTCGCGGTACGATCGCGCACCGCGAACAAACGCTGTGCTCGCGTTCCTCCTCGATCGGTCTGATGCGATACCTGAGTTATAAAAATGTTATTGTACTGAGAGAGCGGGAGAGAGAAAGAGAGAGGATACATCGGGCACACGGTGATGAGATCACACGTTTCCGAAATGCACATCGGATAATACTTTGGTAATGTACTGGCGGCGAGTAATCGAGACAGGCGTGTTTGACGGCTTACGGAGCAACGTCCGTGGCTAACAGGATCGATCACGGGAGGATCGTCGCACTGGAATTCCCTATTGGTCGCGAGGCGATGTCAACGGAACATTAGAAGGCGATTAAGTGTGCAGTTGTTGCGATCCTTGACCTTCCTCTCTTTTTAACGCTGGCTCATCTAGGAATCTAGTCGTGTCTCTATTGTGCATCGCAAATCTGCGCTCGCGAACTTACTATGCTTCCTATCGAGGAAAACTCCTAAATCGTTTTCTCAACTTCTGTACGTTCAATTAACTCGGCATATTAGGACCTTATCACACGGTATACAATACTTTTTGTTGTTCCATCTAATTATATTCTCTATTAAATAATTTTATTTAATTACGCGATCACAGGAAGCGAATTAAAAGAACATACCGTGGAACAAGAATCTTAATCAGGTGAAGTTTTTTTATCTTAGAAAACATATCTCACGCGTTTATTTCATCGTGTTCGCTTCTATAATCGAAATTTCGAGCTTCTTTTTGCTGATTCTGAATGTGTTAGAGCTTACTTTAAAAGTTATATTCTCATAAATCCATTAATTTTTTACGCATTTCTATGATACCTCATTTGAGTGGTGGACTGAACGTTTTCTTGTTGTCTCGACTTCGTTGAGTTAAAGCAGCAGAGCGTAGTAATGCCACCGTATATGCCCCGGCATGTTTCTTTCCCGATCAGATATCGTAAATATAAATGTTTCTCGGTTTGTGACGCGCGACTGTCGGGCAATTATCGAAATTACCGGATTAATCACGCCGAATTAACAACGAGCGGCCCGCGTTTAGGCTCTCATGTACGGATAATCGTATTCCCGTAAAGGCGCGAAGGTCTCCTTAATAGCCTGCGGGGATGCCCAGCGAAGAACGTAGTGAGGACCGCCGGCTTTGTCATTTGTACCAGACATTCGACTGCCGCCGAACGGTTGTTGACCGACTACCGATCCGGTAGATTTGTCGTTGACGTAAAAATTACCGGCAGTGTACTTAAAGTCCTCGAGTGCCTTTCTCGCCCATTTTCTGCAATAACATATGCGTGTATGAGGAAATAATTTACTTTATAGTGCCACTGACTGAACATAAAAATTTTGTGAATTTATCGAAATTGTTTGGTAAAAAATATTATTTTATGATGTACAATACAATGTATAGGTACAACTTCAGAGGAGAATTTAATGTGCAATGTAAAATAGAAGCTATGATTGTATGACGTTTTTTATCTGAATTCTTTTTATACAAGTTGCACATATGAAACGTTATGTACTGTGTAATATCGGTACGACCGACTATAATCTTACTTACTCATCTTGCGCGAATATTGCGCCTGTCAAGGCGTAAGGCGTAGATGTTTCCACCAGCTTCACCGTCTCGTCCAGCTCGGAATCTTTGTAAACGTATATCGTTAGTACCGGACCGAATATTTCTTCCGTCATGAGTTTTTCTTTCGGATCTTTGGATTGTACTATTGTCGGTTCGATGAAATATCCGCACCTGGAAAGAGATTTCTATTTCAGAACGATAGGTCCATTAAGGCAAATCGTTGCGTTAATGATAATCGCGATAGAACGCACGAATTGTCGTAGCCCCCACCGCCAAGAATTTCCATCTTAGGCGATTTCTTCGCGTACTCGATGTAACCGGAAATCCGTTTGAACGCGACGGCGTCTATAACGGCGCCAGTGAATATAGTGAAGTCTCGAACATCACCGATTGTGAGTTTCTGACGAAGAGCCAAGAGGCCGTCTTTTATCTGGAACAACAGTTCAAAGAGGTCACATGAATGCGCATTTCCGATGGATTTAACAGGGAGGCGTTATCGCTAAACTCACCTTGCTCCATAGAGACTCCGGCACGTACATTCTACTGCAAGCGGAACACTTCTGTCCGTTGAATTCGAACGCGCTTTTTATCGTCGCATTGATGACCGTTTCCACGTCGGCACTCGAGTGGACGAAGTGATAATTCTTGCCGCCGCACTCGCCGATCAATTTCGGGTAGTTCCTGTACTTGGCGAGATTCTGACCGACCTGAGCCCACAAACGGTTGAACGTCGGTACCGAGCCGGTGAAGTTGAGACCGGAGAGGTGAGGCGAGGACGTGATGGTATCACCGAACACGGGTCCCTCGCAGGGAATGAAATTCACCACGCCGGGCGGCACCCCGGCCTCTCTGCATATCTTAAAGATCCACCAGTTGGATAATAACGCGGTGTCGGACGGCTTCCAGAGCACAGCGTTACCCTGCAATCGCGGCATGCACGTCGACACGTGCGGGTTATGATTAGCGCGTTACCTTTATCGCGCGAGCCTCGACTAAAGGAGCTGTCAGTATGGTTTGCGAATTACAAACCATCAGTGCGGGCGTGTAGCTGAGATTACCACCGATGGCGGTGAAGTTGAAAGGCGATACCGCCGCGACGAAACCGTCCATGCCGCGATACCTAATCGAGTTGCGAGTCTGCTGATCCGGCGAGATCGGCTGATACTTGAGGCTGTCCTTGGCGAAATACGCGTGCATCTTGAAAAAGTCGATCAGCTCCGCCGCGCTGTCAATCTCCGCCTGGATCACAGTCTTGCTCTGGCCGAGCATAGTGGCAGCGTTGAGATTTTGCCTGTACTTGGTCGCCATCAGATCCGCTATCCTCAACCACATCTCCAGACGTTTCTCGATCGGCCGCTTCTCCCATTCTCGTTGCGCCTTCACCGCGACGTCGATCGCCTTCTTCACGAGCTCCGGCGTCGCCCAGTAATACTTGGCGACTTTTTCCTTGTGATTGTGCGGCTGAAAAAAAAATTCGCAATTGTCTTGTGTAACAAAGAAGGATGAAACAGAAAGCGCAAATCGCGATAAAAGCCGCTCTCTGCGAGTGAACAAACACCAAGAAGGAGAGCTGAGTAAGCGTGATTGGATTAGAAACGTACCATGACTTGATATCTGCACAGATCGGTCTTGATCTCCTCATTTCCGATAACTAACGGCACCTCCTCGCATTCCTTGCTCATCTTATCCAAGACCTTCTCCAACTCCGCTCTTTCCGGGCTGCCCTTCTTGTAGCTGAGAACCGGTTCATTCTCCAATGGAAAGTCCGGCGGGTTCGACACCGGAACTATCGATCCCAGGTACCTGGTGCCGACTCTGTCGAATAATAAACAACATCAAACTGCGAAAGAGCTATACTTCGGTAGATGCGTCAGATAAACCGAGATTTATCTTTAAGAGCCCTCTTAAGAGTTTTGTTCGCGATATCATCTTCACATATTTACCCGACCACTTGTAGTAAAATCTTAAGTTAACAGTCTTATCATTGTCTAAATATGCACTGGAATTTCCGAATAAGCTGTTTGCTTATCGATGTCGTACGAGCAATAATATCGTGTATTTAATTCAGGCATGTCAAATTCATTTTTTTGCATCATGGACCACATATCTAAGTTATTTTATATTAGACTAAGGGCCGCATGTGTTTCCAATATTCAAAATATATTCAAATATATTCATAAGTAAAGTACGTTTTTTAGATTTATCGTAATTAGTATATACATGAATCATTTTGTATCGCGTTATTTTTCAAATTAAAAGTATTTTACATTTATTTATAAATATAAAACATAAATAAACAAAATTACAATTTATTATTATATTATTTTTTAGAGGACATTTGGCACCGTTTTTCCACAAAGCGCAAAACTTAATTGAACGTCTTGAGCTGACGTAATTTTCAAAATTGACGATGCTGATCGATTAATCTTGACCTTTCTAAAGTTTTGTCATTTTTCTCGCATAAATGTGTTCCCGAACATAGCCAGTATACGTAACGAAACCAATCTGCAGAAAAATAAGTGTAAAAGAATATTGAAAATTAAATGCAAAATTCGAACTAAAAATAAATTTATTTACTTCAAAATCACTATAATTAAGTAACTAATTAACATTTGTTTCCAAGATTTTCAAGAAGTCTCGCAGCCTTTTTGGTGACGGGCCGCGTGTTTGCCATGTCTGATTTAAATTGTTCAGAAATATCGGTGGCGAGAATCGAGAGAATTCTTTCGGGACGAGGAATCTTTTTTTCTGAGTCGTATCATGCACGCGTGATACCACTGATACCTAATGATAATTATCATATACGAATCAATGAGTACTATTAAATTAACATAGCACGGCGAAAGGACATCGACACCCTCCGCGTGGACACGCGGAAGAGCGACGATGATAGCATTACATAACGTCTGTCCTCCGCTTGACCCTAATTAGCGCGGTGTTATCAATGTTAATGTATAGATAATTATGACAAATTGTGCTCGATGTAAGTAGTATCGGAGATATAATAATTTCATTCCAAATATCTAACATGATAATTTCTTTCGTAAATCGTTTTTGAGATTGTTAATTACTTTCATATTATAGACATAATTATATTAATGTTACCAATTGATATTATATCAATGCTACGATTATATATATCGCCGTATAAAACCTATGAACAATTTGCAGTGAATATTAACGTCTGAAAGAAGTCGTTGCTCGCGTATTTATGCGTTTTCGTCGCAACCCACAGTTGTCTAATTCCGTCCTCCTCGAGGTCTTCGAAAAGAAGAAGGAAAATGCGATCGCTTCATACAATTAAACTGATTCGATCGGGAAGATCGTGAATCAGTGGATAAACGCGGGGCAAATCTTGGAAAAACGTAAGTACGCTTTTATCCCTTCTGATCCTTTGAATAAAACCAGTCAGAGGCTCGCGTGTCGATCAGTGCTATCGCGAGCATCGTATATAAGCCGACGTATTCGAGTCGCAGTGTCGCGGTGGAACAATTTGCACCGAGCGGTATGCGACTGTCCTTAAAACATATATGTAGATATTGTAGATAAAGAGGTAAAATATAGCCGCTATATAGTCAGCGCTGGTCGACCGTGATGTGTACTGACGTCAGCTGTCGGAGCGCGTGCTTACGTTGACAAATGACCAACGTTTCTGCCAAACGTGGGACGAAATAAGGTCCCTAAAAACATGAAATAATCCTATTATTACAAACAAACAAGCAAAAAAAAGAGGAAATCCTCTGGAGCCAGTTGCGCCGATTTTGTTTCAATTTTTTCTCTACTTTACTCGAGTTATACAGAAGGGACGGCGAGAAGGAGAGAGAGGCAGAGAAACCGTAGGCCAGGAAATAGCGATCTTGCGAGGTCAATCCGAGAGCGCACCGAGGTGATTGACGAAGAGAGAAACAAGTAGAGAAAAAAAAACGGCCAATTGCATCGCCTTCCTCTCTTATGTAGGACCCTAGTTTTTCACGGACATAATACAGATCGGATAACGAAATCTCAGAGCAGATTTTGCTATAAGTGTTCTACAGATTTTTTTTGGCGGAATGCCAGCGGAAATGTTATAGAATCTGTTGGCGGATGTTAGATTGAAACTGCGGAAACCGAGCGGTAGATCTGCGGTTTCCTTGTCATTTTTATATAATTTTAAACGGTACATTACGGAATGACGGATCACAGTCGGTTTCTGGCATTTTCTGGCAGAACCCTGTGCCTAATGTGGGCACGGTTGACACCAATCTGCCGCGGATATTTCGCTCGAATCTTCTGGCACGGTTTACTAGCGTACTGTCAACATTTCGCTTGGGAGAAAAGGACAAGTGATCGGCAAGCTTTTCACGTCCATCGCTACCAAAAATTAACTCTTTGATCTCGGTTTAACTCGCTTTTCATCCTTTTCTACTTCTAAAAAGTTGGAGAAATAAAAAGTGAGTTAAACCGAGATTGAAGTACAATCTACATTGGTGGAAATGGACATTGAAGACGACTTCGGCTTAAATCCCGATTAACTTGACCGGCGATTAATCCATCCGGCAGACCGCTCGTAGCGAAAGAACGGCTCCGCGATGACGAATTCGTTATCCTTAATCTCTCTAATCTCTTTCTCCATATTCAAACAACAAGAAGCCTGATGGACTCTTCAATGTCGACGAGGTATTTTGTCGCAGGTATCACAGTCGCTCGATGAATTAATCGCCGAACAGCTCTGGCCCGAGCTCGCTCCAAAATTACGCGTCGCGAGCCGCAACGCGTTCGCGGTAAGCGAATCGAGCGAGCGTTGGGATACCTTCAGGTCATCGGAGCTCGTTTTTAATTACGCGCGATCTCGCGAATCATGTCATCATGCTGCACGTCGGTCGTCGGTCGTCGGGTTCCCCGGACTCGACGGGTAGTACACCGGGTGACCGGGGGCCCCCGGCACGATTACCCACGTCGCTCGATGCCTCGCGACGATCGATGAACCTTCCTTCACGTCCAAGGAAGCGGCCGAGCGAGAGGAGAGCTCGGGAGAGTTGGGTTATCCGCGGGGGACGCGCGCGTTTTCGTTTTCGCGGTTCGCGACGAGCGATCGATATCGTCGCGATAACCGGACGGCAGGCGGGGGAGGGCACCCCGGTGCCGGGATCTTGATCTTACTCACTTTTGGGTATTCGCCAGCAACGTCTGACGGCAGACCAGGCCCAACATCTTCCGGCGGTGGAGACGGGGACGGGTAGCGAGAAAGAGAGAGAGAGAGAAAGAGAGTGGGACGGAAGGAGACGGCGACGGGAAGGGAGAGAGAGAGAGAGAGGGATGACGTCGGCGTGCGACCCTTCGTCACACACGATGACCTGAAGGGCGAACGAGGTGCCCTTCTCGACTGACAGGTCCCGCCAGATGTTCGGTTCTCCTTTCTCCGCCGCGCGCGTCCAGTGCGCCGAATTGCCGAAACTGCGAAGGAGTCGGAACGGAACGGAACACACGGCCCGATGCGAACACCGCGCCGTCGGGCGAACCGCGCTACACCGGGTTCCCCACGTCCCCACCTCTCGCGCCGCTCGCGACGAGCGCTCCAGGGCCGTATCATGGTACGACCGTCCGGATCGGTGGGCGGACGAGGGGAGAGTGGAAGGACGCGCGATCGAGCCACCGACGGTGAAGCTCAGAGCTCCGAGTGAAATTTTCACGGCGAATGCTCGAATTTCAAATGCGTTTCTCCTCGATGCGCGAGAATTCCCATCGACAAATATTAATTAACGACTTTATTAATTACCGTGGATTGTTGTTGTATTATTGTTCACAGTATAGGTTTCATCTGATCGTCTGATCGACTACCGATGGAATCCGCAGCGAGGATTATATTGCACACTCCTCTTTAGATCTAAATTCTAGACATTCATAAGTAAAAAGAAAAAATTGTTAATTCGTTATAAGTATCTCTGTGCAACAATTTTTAATTTAATTTTAACTTCTAAATCACGTCAGTTTTACTTCTCCGTTTATTTCTTTTATTTGCTAATCACATCGTGTAAACGTAAACCTTCACTTTCTTTAAGTTATAAATGCGGATAATCATTTCCTTATGTCATGCAGAGGAAGAACTTGTTTTTTTTTTTTTAGCGTGTTAAAGCCTAGCATGTTAAAGCCTGTTTTTTTTTTATTATTTTCGATTACAAAAAAACTTAAGTAGCAGTGTCGTCGGGCACATTCATTTACGTTGCTCGTTCCCACTGTAAATTCTTACCCACGACTAGATTGATATAATCAAAATCAATGATGATCGATCAGGCATTTCTCCTACATAACGCATCGCGCAGAACGAGTACAGGAATAAAAGAGGCTGGGGGTTCGGTCTTACCGAAAAGATCTAATCGATATCTCATCTCAATGTAGACAGGGAAGTCAGACTTGTAGAACGGACTCATATCGATTCTATTTTCGATTTACAAATTATCTTCTCTCCTTTGTCCCTTGTACCGTCAAGCTTTCATCGTCGAGTGTTCGTCGCGGGCGTCAGACTCGCTAGGTGTTGAATTGTTAATAATACCTACCGACTCACATATACGCCGCTGCAAAACAACCGTGTCTAAATGCCAAACGTGTCGTCGTGCATATGGACAATTGATTATAACGCGAATGCCGTGCAATCGAGAGATGTATCAATTTGATGTACCTTCGGAAATTCGAGACAAAATTCAAGAAAAAAATTCGAAATACCTGCAAGTTACTCGCGAAACTTTTTTTCTTCTTCAAAACGGAATGGAAGTTCAGTTCAAACTCCCCGATCTTTTCGAGAACTGTCAAAGAAAAACGCGTGACATAAAATAGAAGTGAAACAAAAAAAGAACGCTATTACCATAATTATTGAAATACAATACAGTTAAGCGATCTCGATCGCGAGAGATTTCGAGTCTGTACTCGACATTCGTCGCGCATCGTTACTCTTTAATCACAAAGAATAGCGAGTCGTAAAAAAAACAGACGAGTCTACATCTTTTAGCAAGTTCACCTGCACCGTGGAAGGTTGAAATGCGTTACATAAGGCGATCCATTTTTAAACAAACGCCATTGTGTGTGCGTTCACGCACGCGCGCATGTAGGTACATATCTTAAATTTATCTTTTTTTAAGCCGAGAGTGTCAGTATTCGACTTATTATGTATTCGTTTCTATTAATACATCTTCATTTCTTAAAATAATAAAGATATCCATCTAAAGTAGGGAGGAAAAACCCACTTCTTCTGATAGACCGAGAGACAGTCGTCGAGTTAAAGAAAAGATAAATAATTCGTAATTGTTTCAGATATTGCATCTCTGAGACGCGATAGCACTTGGCGAAGTTTTCAATTCTCCTCTTGTTGCATTTGCAGCTCGCGCAAGAGTTGCGCCCTTTGCTTCTCCAGCTCGTCCTCGGAAAGTTCGTGATGCTCGTTATTTTCCGTGGCGGAACCTTCGCTGTGAACCGAAGGCCTTCTGTGCTTCTCCTCTCTCCGCTTCCTCTCCGGCGAGCACTCCTCGGAAGATGGAAGACCGGAGTGCGAGCGCTATGAAAAAGATATCAGAAGAAACATGATGAAATATGAAAACTTCCCCCGATGGAACTTCAATATCGTTAATACGTACGGAATGGCTGCGACCTCTCTTCTTCTTGCTCTTCTTTCTCTTGGACTTCCTCGTTTCCGACTCGGAACTGTCAGACTTGCTGGGAATACTGGGCGAATGCGATTTGTGTCGCTTTCTTCTCAAGCCTTTCTCGCTACCTTCCGACTCCTGCCAAGAAAAAAACATCATTTTTACCATCTGTCGCGATCGCATACCAGAAACAGATGAGAAAGTGACTGCTTTCGGAGAGCTTTTTTTAATACTCACGCTGTGCGAACGCGATCGTGATTTGCGCTTCAACTTTTTCGCCTTTTTCTTCTTACTTCTGATATGATGATGGCTGCAGCTCTCCTCGAGCTCATGCTGGTATTCCTTGAATATCCGTATTCTTTCGCTCTCCAAGGTGATCGCCTTGAAATCTTGCTCTTCCTCAATCTTCGGTCTTACGTCCTCCCACGCCATTTGGTAGTCTACGTTCAATGTCTTGAGCAAATTCTTGAAACCAGTCTCCAGCTTCTTGAATTTCCGCGTCTCTTCCTTGACGCGCTCTTTCTCGCGCGCCTCCGCCTTCTCCAACAGTAAATTGTACGTTAATTTAACGTTACCCGCGTCTAGAGTCGCCGACTTTCGGTCCTCGCACACGACCGTGGCGAATTCCTCGAAAGTCGTGTTGACTTGCACCTCGAAGTTCTTGTCTTTGAGTATCTCGCGAATGATCTTCTTCTCGTCGTGGAATCGAGACTTCAAGTCTTCGACGTAGAATTTGAAAAGGTCCAGCGGAGTCGAGCCCGATTGCCCGAGCATAGCCGAGAATCGAAGATCGGCGGACAGCATTGGATACAATTCTACCCACAACGACATCGATGTGAGTTTGCCTTGTTCGTGAAGCTCATCGAGTAGATACTGAAACACAATTTTTTACCGTAAAAAAACTGTATTTTTTTTGACTGACTTAAAGGCGCAGAGAGACGAGACCTTTGAGTTCCTATAGCAGCGCTATATAAGGTGATGCATCTGTCTGCGTCCTAATGTAACATAGATACCAAAACGTATATAGTATAGTTACAATTAAATCGGAAGTCTGCACTTACTATGAAGCCATCCCTGTTTTTTCTCTCCTGTCGTTTCCTACGTTTCTTCTCGCATTCTTTTTCCTCCTCCTCATCCTTCTCCAATTGGCGAATGTGATTCTCGAACACAATCAGAGCGTCCTCTTTGTCCATCTCTAACAAGTCTGCGTCTTCGGCGAATGCGGGATGCTGTAACAGCAACGCTTGCGCTTCCTGCCACGTCGTCCTGTAAGTCACTTCCGTCATAGTGTCCAAAACTTGCGCCAGTCTTTTAGTATTTCTCTTCTTCAATTGTTTCGCCTCTTCTTTCTCGCGTTTCGCCAAATTGAAGATAACGTCTTCGTAAATGTCTCGGCGATCCGAATCCCCAACTGATCTCCAAACCTCTAAATTACCGAACATCTCTTCACATTTGTAATACTTGGTTGTGCTTGACATTCTGTCGTTTTCCAGCAAGAATTGCTCCAAATCCTCTTTGGCCTTCTTCAATCTGTCGAAGATATGCCGCATTATTATCTAATTTAATTGTACATTGTACACTTAATACGAGATAAAAGTAATCGCGATACCTACCTGAGTCTCTCCTGCTCGCGCTCTTCCTTCAGTTTCTGCGTCTTGTACGAATGGAAGGCCTGTTTACGTTCGTTCAGCTTCTTCATCTGCGGATATCTGGGATCATTCTGAATCAATTTGACCGCCTGTTCCCATGTAGCATTCGACGGCACGTCTCTCTCCCTGAGTAACTCCTTGAATGCCTCAACTGCTTCCTTTTTATCCTTGAATTGCATCTTGGGCTCGGGCGTGCTGGTGCGACTGTCATTGGCTGAACCCATCGCGGAATTACTATCCTCGTCTGGTTTCGCGGGCGGTGTCGGAATATTAATTGCCGCGAGTGTCGCGGCCATCGCCTGTTCGATAGCCGACTTTCCACCGGATTCCGGTGTACTGGTCTGCGATACAGTCGGGACATTCGGCGACAAGTGTTGCATCGCTATAGAAACCATATTGCTGAAGACATAGGAAGATCATGATGAATATACAAAAAGCTTTTGAAATAATGAAAGGCAGATAATCTGCAGTCTTGCTATCATTACATCCAACTTGACTTACGAATTTGTGGCGTTTGCCACAACTGCCGCGGCGGCCGCTGCAGCTTCCTCGGCTATGATTCGCGCCTTCAGCTCTTCCAACTCCGGCGGTATCGTCCACCTAGATTCCTTAGTGTTTACATTGTGATAATACACCTTGCCGTTCTCCGACTTGTACTCCTTCCAAGGGCACTGCGACAGCAACAGTTCGCTCGGTGTTTTCAGCTCGTCCGGCTTTTCCCACAACGACTGCTTTGTGATGTTGTTATAGTAATATGTTCTGCCATCGGGCGCCTTGTGCTCGCTCCAGTCTGTCTTCTTGTCCGTTGTAGAGCTGGGCATCGCAGTGCCGTCGCCGCTGATAGGCGAAGGAGGCGGAATCCCTGGTGCTGTTATCTGCGGCGACGCAGCTGTAATGCAAAGAGAGCTATCTGAGCAACGGATTCGTAGAGGGGCGCACGTATTCAGCGATGGATATTAACCTATGACTCCTGGCTCTTGAGGAGGTGCCGCGGTGATAGGAAAAGTAAAACCTGGCGGAGGTATGGAAAACTGAGGTGGCATTATACCCGGAGGACCCGGTGGTAAACTGGGAGGCGGGATGAAGGGTGCCGCGGGCATAATGGGTGGCACAAAGCTGGATGCGATACTTGGCGTTGCCGGTGGAAATCCTGTTACAGCGGCGGGTGGCGGAATACCATCGTTCGAAGCCTAGTAACGTTTATATTGTCAGTCAGATGATCAGAAATTTTGAAAAGCGTAACATTTAACGTTTCTCTCGTGTTACGTCCGGCTCGTAGCTGCGCTT